TTCTTTTGGTGTGTGTGTGTGTGTGTGTGTTTTTGTATTTTTGGAGGCTTCAGAGGGCCAGCAAGACAGGTGGTATTGGACTTGGGATTGCCCAGTGCCTGGCCATGGAGGGTGTCTCCGTCGTAATGAAGCTTGGCTGCCTTATTGGTGGGCTTTTGGGGCTTTGGCTTTCAGTGTTTTTCCATCATTCCCATCATGGTGGCTACAAGTTGGACTCTTAATATAAGAGGGCTTCCGAAGTCAGCCAAGGAATGGGCTCGGGAAGGAGGAGGACATCGCCGACGCCGTGGCATCTGTCCGTGAGCGAGCGGCAGCATTCGATCAGTTTGCCGCTAAGAACGAGATCACAGTCCCCGGGCCAACTGTTGTCACCAGCCATGGGGCGAACTTGATGAAGATCAGCGAGATGAAGCATCTAGTCTCCTTTGCCAAGAGCCAAGATGCTTTCGGAAAGCACCACGATGGCAAGATCGATATCTTGGTCAACAATGCCGGAATCCAGCATGTGGCCCCGATTGATGACTTCACATCCAAGGACTGGGATCGAGTCATTTCCCTCAACTTAAGCTCAGTCTTCCATATGACTCGCCTGGTTCTCCCCTCCATGAAAGAAAACAAGTTCGGACGCATCATCAACATTGCGTCGGTCCATGGGTTGGTGGCCAGTGCAAATAAATCTGCCTACGTTGCCGCCAAGCACGGCGTCGTGGGCCTCACGAAAGTCACAGCCTTGGAGACGGCTACGGAAGCCAACCTCACTTGCAACGCTGTCTGCCCGGCCTGGGTTCTGACGCCTCTCGTTGAGGCTCAGGTTCATGCCCGAGCGAAGGCAGAGGGTATCTCTGTTGAGGAGGCCAAAGGCCTCCTGATTGGTGAGAAGATGCCCACGAAGGACTTCGTTGCTGCGGAGGAGATCGGGCGAGCCTGCGCTTATTTCTGCGACCCTGAGAACAAGGGGAGCACTGGAACTATCCTTACTGTGGATGGTGGCTGGACCAGTCAGTAAAGACGCATGAAGAGAAAATCAAGAAGTAGCTGCAGCTGCTGCATGTTAAGATCGAAGAAGATGTAATGTTTATACAGCAAACCTCTCTCCCTCTCTCTCTCTCTCTCCCTGTCTTCATTTATCCATCTCCGTTTTTATCTACTTCCGAAGATCCGGAGCAGAGGGTTTTGGAGCACCCATGCGCATACATACACCTCGTCTGCCGAAGCCGTGAAGCTTCTCTTGGAACCGAAGCCCTAGCCCTAAACCTCAAACCCTAAACCCTAAACCCTAAACCCTAAACCCTTAACCCTAAACCCTTAACCCTAAACCCTAAACCCCAACAAACAAAGGTTTAGGGTTTAGGGTTTAGGATTTAGGGTTTAGGATCTAAGCCCTCGAGCTGCCTGTCATGGCGGCCACCTTCCATAGGGCGGTGAGCCCTCAGCTTGAGGCCACGTCTCTGGCGTTGGCGAGTTCGGTTTTGGGACAGGGTTCAGGGTTCGGGTTTGGGGTGTAGGGATTGGGGTCTATGGCTCCAGCTTTAGTGTTACGGTATGGCAGTCCAAAAAACCCTAAACCCTGAACCCCTTACTAACTCCATAAACCCTAAATCCAAAGGCTCTTACGAATTCCCTAAACGCGCGAAGTCCTAGACCTCTTACTAGCTGGCCAGTGTACGAATGGCTTGGGTCTCTACTCATGGGGTTTCGGAGACGACAGGTAGGATGCGCATGCGGACTAGGGGGAAAATAAAGGGGTCTCAGGAATCAGAGTGGGGGGTTTTCGGTATACTCTAGCAGAGTTACAAAAAGGAACCCTGAAGAACACTATTCAGGCATCTATTGGCACAGAGAGCATTCATTCAGGGTAACGTGGAAGGCACCCGGCGAGAAGGTGCTTTTTTGGAAGCCAGTTGTCTTTTCTTCTTCCTGTTCGTCTGACAGTTAGCGATTAGGAACACCGAAACCATAAACCCTCAACCTAAACCCAAGGCGTGTAGTGTTTTCTTCGTTTCGGCAGAATGCTTGGGGGTTCCAATCGATTTTGAACTATTGAAGCGAACGTAGATCAATCCCTCGGCATTAGGTAACTACCCTTGGCCAAAAAAGATGATTCAGAGTTGAGGGGTTTAGGGTTCAGGGTTTAGGGGCTTAGGGTTCAGGGTTTAGGGGTTTAGGGTTCAGGGTATTGGGGTTTAGGGTTTCGGGGTTTAGGGTTCAGGGTTTGGGGGTTTAGGGTTCAGGGCTGAGGGGTTTGGGTTCAGGGTTAAGCGGTTTAGAGGTGTAGAACCCCGGGTTTAGTGTGTAGGATGCAGATACTACACGGGATTGGTGTAGACTTATGAGGGCCAGCCAGGGACGGTGAATTCCAAAACTCCGGAGATAAACCCAAAACCCCAAAACCCCAAATCCGAAACCCTAAACCCTACACCCCAAACCCAAAAACGCTCGACCGTAAACTCGTAAGCGTGAGATCCTAAACCTTGAACCCTAATTAAGGCCCAAACCCCTAGGCTCCAATTCATCAAAGCCTGCTTTTTTGAATCCCTAAACCCTAAACCCTAAACCCTAAACCCTAAACCCCTAAACCCTAAACCCTAAACCCTAAACCGCCGAAGCATGCTGAAGCCTTAAGCCGCAAATCCTTCAACTGCAAAGCAGTGGACCACGGACCCATTGCAGCTCACAGCCGTACTATATGGGAGTTTCCGAAAATAGGGGACCCTACTAGAGTACCCCAAATATAGTAGGATCCTTATTCAAAAGGACCCCAAAATAAGGTACCCCCTAATCTTGGGAAGCTCCCGTATACGTCGAGGCTTGTACGTTGGGTCTCATTTCCTGACTCTGTTCTCGGACCGAACGCTGGCAAGTTAGAGCTGACGCTGGCGGGTTGAAAAGTGAGGGTTTAGGGTTTAAGGAGTATCCCTTCAATCATATTAGGGATCCTACTATAATTTAAGGTAAACTCCTTAATTAAGG